GAACACTGAAAATTGCAATTTTGAATAAATTTAATTTTTAACTTTGAATTCCGTTATTGTAGCTGTTTTAATATAACGATCTTTAATGTATGTTAGGAAGACATTCAAAGAGAAAAAATAGTTAAAAGCAAAATATTTTGAAATCTTATGAAGCAGAAAGAAAAAATTTTAATTTAAATTGATGACTATGCATGGATCAATAAATAGATTTTTTATAAAAATAAATAAATTTTGATTTTTGATGTGTCAAAATTTCCATCTAAAATATTGTTTTTCGCAGTAGTGATTGAATTCACGATACAAAAAAACGTTATCCTGATTGGTTTATCGACTAATTATGGTATCTATCCATGGGTCATGAATCAAGTATTTATACGCAATATCAATATCTTTAGAAGCAAAAGAATGCTAAAACATGATAGACAAAATTTCAAATTAAAAAAATAATTTCATTAGAATACCTCAGTAAGGAATTTATTTCTTTTTCTAATTTTTACGTGTTGACATTTTCCTTCTCTGTAATAAAATAAGAGGAATATTGTTGTCAAACATTTAAAAGAATACTTTAGTTTAGGCAAGTCAATCCTGAGAAAAAAATGTTGTTGTTTTCAAATACTGGACATTGGAAGTCATTCGCCGCTAGATGATAAATGGTAATGGCAACAGATTCAATGTTACATATGGTACATTACTACGGTATGCTGCACTGCATCATCCCAATGTATAACGAGTACAGTAAAGATTATGGCCTTATATGGGTGTGGTCTTAATTCAGTGTTGCTTCATAGTAGGATCTGAATTATTTCTGGGCGAGGTGTAGTCGAACGATGGAGACTAATTCTGAATTATTCTTTGAGGCTTTTAAATTGCAGTTGAAGACGTAATGGCATAAGTTAATTTCTGCGTAATCTGCAACTTTGAAATTTTCACGAAAGTAGAACTTTTGGCTTCTGAAAAATGGGGAACTTAAGGTGAATATGATTAAAAATGTTAGAATTGAGAGGAGGCTTTGACACAAACATGTCATTTATTTTCTACAACACAAAGCAATCGACTAGCTGACAAAGCAATGGCACTTACTAACTTATAATTTTAAAATGATAGAACACTCTACGGTTACCACACATTTCAGGTAAAATTTATTAAAACATTTTTCTTTTCCTCTTCATACGTTGTCCGCTATATAATACTTGTGTGAATGCATGGGGGATCCAGTTTATTTAAACATATCTCTTTTTTTTCTCCACACGCGGTACTCTATATAGTTCTCTTGTGAATGCAGGGTGGATCCAGTTTATTTAAACATTTCTCTTTTTCGCGTAGTGAACCACGTGTGGAGAGCACGTGGTCCGTTATATAGTTCTCGTGGGAATGCATGATGGATCCTTACTAGTATTCTCCACAGAGGTGCCACGTGGGATTTCGAATCCACTTCCCTTCTCCTCTAACATTACGGAAGAACCTTCCAACCTATACATTTATGAAGCTCCTGCCCATCATAGACGTGGAAATTTTCAGTTCGGCTTCGCTTACTTCCACCACATCATACTTCAGTTTTACTTTCAAACACAGGTTCCCACATCAAACCTCAACTTACTTTCAAACCATGGTTCACCACATCATGTGCCCATTATGCTTTCAAATCGTTTCACACCATAACATACGTCAATTTTGCTTTCAACCGTGGTTCACCACATCATATGTCCATTTTACATTCAAATCGTGGTTCACTACATTATATGTCAATTTTATTTTCAAACCGTGGTTTACCACATCATACTTCACTTTTACTTTCAAACCGTGGTTCACTACATTATACGTCAATTTTATTTTCAAACCGTGGTTTACCACATCATACTTCAATTCTACTTTCAAACCGTGGTTCCCCACATCATGCTTCAATTTTACTTTCAAAGCGGGGTTCACCACATCATATGTCAATTTTACTTTCAAACAGTGGTTCACCACATCATATATCAACTTTACTTCAAACTGAGGTTCACCACATTTTGCATGAATTTTACTTTCAGGCCAGTATATCTCTTTTCCTTTTAGGTTACAAACTGTTAGAATTATTCTCAATTTTCATCAGAAATTATGTTATTCGAAAATATGTTATGCAAATGTAGTAAGAAAAGGAAGTTTTAAAGAATTGTATCCACATGCCTTAAGTGATGAAAGACATCTTCCACAAATTCCTCATAATATCGAGTCTTCTATTACCCAGAAGTTTTGGCAAATGTTTTCAAAAGCATTCAATAAACTCATTTATCAGCAGAATCAATTTGTTTCTGAGATAAGCATCTTAAATAGTTCCCTCTCTTGAGGTCCAACAAAATTGCAAATCTAAAAAGGCAAATTTTTTATCTCAATTTATCACTGTGGCAATTGTTTTATTAAGTTCATTATATTTCCATGTATTCTTTGCATATCAAATTTTTTCCATTTGGTTTTCGGATAATTTTATACTTACTTAAGATATTTATGATCTTTATTTCTATTGTTTATTGTAAAATAATACCTTCATTGTTCAGTCTCCAACGTCAGAAATGATTTTATGAAAAACTCTCTGTTTTTTTTCCTTTTCAGTCCCGTGT